TCCATAAAGACCCAGGACGAACAAACCAGGGATGGCTGGTGATGGGAAAGATAAATCAGGTCCCCCTGAGGCCTTTAGAACAAACACTGGGAATCCAGAGGAAAAAACCCCCAACAGGATTTCTGCATAGCCTTGTGTATAATAAGCCTGCGTAAGCCCGGACTGGCCTGTGTTTGAACAGAAAGATCTGTGCTACACAACTTCTAGGTGTGAGGAGCCATATAAAAGCCAGCGTCTTTACATGGAATCTGAGAAATATGAAGAAAGCCACGCCGTTGGCCCCACTCCTAGATTCAAAAGCCGCTCCGCACACCTCAAAGACGCGCTTCCTGCCTGGTGGAGAGAGATGGAGGCAGAGAATGCAGCGCCGGCTCGGTCGCCTACCAGCAACCTGACCCTGGACAAGAACGCCACTTAACCTCTCCCCACTTCCGCCGCTTCACTGGGAAAGCAGGGAAATTAACGCTCGATGCAAACTTGCATGAATGTCATAAGACGAACAAGAGCCACCAGCTTCGGGACCACAGAATGCGGCTGTGGAGACCGCTGTTCTGTTTTGGCTTCGATAACCTCGCCACTGGACTCTGGATAAGAAGGTACCGGAACGCCTCATGACTCAAAGAGGATGTCCTAAGATGCCTGTCGCTAAACGTCCGCAGGACCCCACTGCCAAGAGCTCTGCCGGCACACACCTTCCACCTGGTTCTGGCCACAAACAGGGGCCCCGGTGCGATCCTCCTCCCAGAACCTGAATTCCATGGCGGTGGCCTGGCCAGGGCTGCGCCCGCTGCAGGGAAAAGGCCCCCTGCCTCTCAGGGCAGTCTTGGCTCTAACAAAGCTTTCCTTTCAATTCGTGAGCCAACGTCCATCTCCTTGAGGCTTCCCCCCCATCGGTCCCAAAAAGGCCCACGGGGACCATCGAGGACAGTCAGGACTGTCCTTCCATCCTTTGAACCCAGCCAGCCGCCTCTATGCCCCCGTCCTTCGTCAACTCCCTTCAAGGATGCCCTCCACGACCCCGGTCCAGACCCATCAGCACCCTTCTCACCACGCCTGCATTTGCTTTCATGCTCTGCCATCACCATGGAGACTGTGTCCAGATCTGAACATACATTTTCTTAAATATATTGAGTAACTCTGAGCAAATCAAATCCAACTTAAAATCAAGAATAGCACTGGTGTTTTAATAGTCAATATTGCCAATGGTCTATTAAATAGGGATAATGTAGAAACGGGTGATGTGTGAGGAGGTGGTTGTTTTTTTAAGCTAATACCACCCTCACATTTTTCATGCCTTGTCCCACATTCTGGCCAGTCTAATTCTCCTGCATAAAAACATCACCAAGTTGCATAATATTACAAAAAGGGCCACAGTCTTTGAAAAACTCATACTTTCAGAGACCAAGAACAGATCTAAATGTCGGGGAGGCTCCCAGCAGGCAGAGGGGGGGCCAAATGCCCGGTGAGGGACACGTGGGGGCCTTTCGCGGCCAGCACCCCTCACCCGCACAAAGGCAACAGCTTCAGGTCTCAGTCTTGGAAGAGCCGGCATCCAGCCACCTTTCTGAGTCACTTCTGTTTAAATGATGTATGTCACCAATAGAAAGCAGAACCCCCGGCCCTCGCTTGCACCCACACTTCCTCACGGAGGGGGTTGAATTACTTTTACATCTTGACTCCGGAAATGACACCAACAGTTATATATGAGCCCGGGGAAGGGCTTGATCATGCAAATGTCTTCTCTATGACTCATCATGTATTTGTAAAGGAATTCTTCAGTCGTAGTTTCTGCTCCTGTAATTTAATTCTTCAGTCGTAGTTTCTGCTCCTGTAATTTACCAGATTTATTCCATTCACATTTAAAATTGTAAGTAGAAGAGAGTGGTCATCCTCCGGCTCTGACTGTGCACGCCCCACAGGGAGACACACTTAGTGCTGGACCCTCTGCGCTCGGCTGGGGAAGGGCACCCAGCTCCGCCACACCCTCGGCGGCACCTGGTCGGCTGTGAATGAACAATGAGCAGCAGGGTCAGCAGCACGGCTTCCCCAGGGATTTGCACAAGGCAAGAGGGGGACCCGGGCCCTCCCCAGATGCTGGTGGTTGGTCCCCCTTCCCTCCTTCTCTGCCCTGGAGAGAGACGTGAGTGGCCTGCATCAGGGATTCTCGTGCCCTTTGGCTCCTAGTTGGGTTTGGTCGAGGAGCAGGACAGGGAGGAGACTCGAGGCAGGGCGAGTGAAGTCGGGGTGCCTCCCCTGGGCCCCCTCTCCCTCTGGGTCATCACGAGTCGGACATATCCCTGGTTGAAGGCCACAGGTCTTCACGGTTTCTGCCCCCTCCTTTCCCTGTTACATCCCTGGGTTGTAACCACCCCTGTGGCATGCCCGTGGCTCTGTGGACATGCCTGTGGTTCACTCCCCTCAGTGACGCCACGTGTTCCCTGGAGCTCTGACTGGGCCAGTTGACTGTCAGTGGAACCTTATTTTTCTTATGCTCTAAAGATAATTAAATGCAGTCATTTGTTCCAAAGGGGTATGTCAAAACCCATAAAACTCAACCACTTTATGACATCTTCTATAAAACATTTTATATCTGCAATTGAGTTTCCAGCACAAGCATGGGCAACAGACAATACAGGTGGTAACAGTGCCCGCAGAAGAAACAGAAATATTTCCTTAAAATTAAACGGTATCCTCTAACAATAAAACACACACAACTGGCTTTAATTTCAAGAACACAATGCTGACATGTACGTGGCTATGCAATGCACTTGAAGAAGTTAAGCGTTGTTGAGACTTAATATCATTGAATCAAAAATGGCCTGAACTGTAGTGTGCATTAGGACTTCAGAGACACATAGGTATGTCTTAGAAACAAGGCTTGTCTCAGAAAAACGACTCATTTATGGTTTGGTAGGTAGCTCTTCCTGGGAGGGAAATACACATTTTCTTTACAGAGAACTTACTGTTGTATTTCCTATGGGAAGGATGTTAGGGCCCTGGTGTGACTGAGATAACACTGTCTCAACTAGAAAGAGGGGGTCGGCTTCCACTAGGATCACGGGATGAACTTCGGGACACGTGTGACCATTCCTCATTGCAGGCCTGAGGCACTGCTGGGATTTTTAATTTGGGTATTTCTGTGGCGCCGGGAGCCTTTCTATTTATGTCACAGTTGTTTTTGGGTGGATGATCCATCTCAGCCGTGTCAGAGGTTACTGTTCGAAACACACAGAGCAGTCCCAGTCACTCGAAAGTGGGCTGGAAATATGGGCATCCAACGGTCCCTTCTCCAACTCCCTCAGTCACCAATGGCTGACTGTGCAGCTGCTACTAATTCACGTTAAGGCTGCATCTCATTCCGAGTTCTCACCTTGTCGGCGGTGGGTGGGATAATTAGTGTCAGTGTGTGGGATGTAGTTACAGGTGGACTGACAGAATCTGCCAGGTGGTGCTTCTGAACAACCTCACTGGTTGGAAACACCCCACAAACACAGTAAGAAGTTTATGTGAGAGATGGGACCAGGCCTTTCCCTGATCTCCCTCTCCCCGCAGGTGGGTGGGGCCCATGCCACCCCTCGGGTGAGAGGCCATGCTTCTTTCGGATTTCCAACCACCCCCCCCACCCCCCGACCTGTCAGCGTGGGTGTGGCCGTGTGCTCGGCAGGTGCTCTTGCCCGACGGTCATTTACAGGCGTCTGTCCACCTCTCAGCTTCTGTGGCCAAATCTGTTTCCAAAGGGAAGCACAGTGGCATCTGGGGGCACTTTCATCTGTAATCGTTACTTCTCACCAGTGCTGACCTAACAGAATCTCCTGATTATCCCAGGAGAAAAGTAGATTTTATTGGCTAAACTTGTCAGCAGGAAGCCTATGGGAGGCAAACTGGTAAGAAACCTGGGGAGGAAGTAGAGCTTTCAGATGCGCCCCTGCTGGGCCACCGTGAGAGCCCCGCAGGCTGTTCGACACTCTGAACCTCAGTCTCCTCTTCATACGTGGAACGATGCCACGGCCCAACTCGCAGAACTGTGGTAGACATCACGTTCGGCGCACACACAGGAACTCTGTTCTCTCCCTGCTCACCTGTGCACTGCGCGTTTCCAGGCTCATTTCTGGATATTAGGAGGGAATGGGCCAATTCCTGCCACATCTCATGGTGAACAGCCAACCAGGTAGAAAGAGGGAGGGAGGAGCAGAGAAGGTAGAAGCACCTATGTTCTAGCGGGAGTCCTGGGCACGTGGAACCCTGTTGCAAACAGACCCTTTAACCCTGGTTGGCCTCGCAAGTAGTAAGTCACGTTACCCAACAATGCTTGAAGTTTATTTTTCCTTTGAGGTATGTCTTTAACTTGCTTATGAAAACTGCATTAATCCCACCTCTTCTAATGTGGTCTGTTAGTGCATGCGTGTACGTATGTGTGTGCACGTGCGCGTGCGCGTGTGTATCCCCACTTGTATCTGTGGGGAAAACCCTGTAAACCCAGCAGAAGGAGCCGCTGCAGGAAGATCACACCTGGCGTCACAGATGAAAACTGAGGACTTGACACGTCAGAGGAGCTGCCACAGGAGCTGTGACCCCTGGGCCTTACAGGAGCCACATCAGTGTGGACGGCTCTGGTGGGAGGGGTAGCGGCAGAACAGAGCCGGCCAATAGGAGAGAAGATTCCTGATCAGGAGAGGTGCGTCTCCCTCGGTGGGAGTGGACACTCAGCCCAGGTGGCCCAAAGACCAGAGAACTGACCGGCACACGACAGGGACCCCAGCATTACCACCTACCAGGCGACAGCTGCCAGGAGGAAGACAACTGTTTGGTGGATACGCCCGCACATCAGCCAGGGATGAGGAGTCCTGAGGGCCCTCTGGCGCCACCTTGTAAACAGGAAGCACCTGCAGGGACCTCATTATTGCGCACGTGTTTCTCGGGGCAGGTGACTGCACAGGTTTGAAAAGCACAGGCTGATTTTCCGAGTCGCAAACCCACTCTGACGTCCCGGGAGGCCTTACCTTCAGCAGTGCCTGACAGGCCGTCGGCTTTGAAGTTGCTGGTGCTTTTCTTCCTTCGGTGCTTCTTTCTGTTGGCGTGGGGGGAGGGGGGCGGGTCGAGCTTGGGGCTGGTGGTGCTGGACATGCTTGGGCTGGAGCACACGGAGTCGCCCAGCCCCGTGTCTGCGTCGGACCGGAAAGGCAAAACAGAGCAAGCGTCAGCACTTCAAACCACGTTCCTCCTAGAGCATATCAAGCCCCACAAGTAATTTACTATTGGAATATGAAACATATTACACAATATATATGAGACTGCTGGATGGAGGCCCAGAGCACTCAGTACTGAAGGATCCTGAAGGTGGTCAACAGGTACAAAGTTCCAGTTATAAAACCACTACAGTGCAGTTCATGTAATCACAGTCTACACAACACAATTCTGTATGTGATGTAATATGTAGTTAGCAATACTGTAATGGAGATTTGAAAGTTGCTAAGAGAATAGATGTTAAAATTTCTCATCACAAGAAAAAACACTATAATAGTGGTGATGGGTATTAACTAGACTTACTCCGGGAGCACTTCTCTATATATATCAAATCATTGCTATACACCTGAACTACGCACTGTGGCCCGGGCCCTGGAAATGGGATTCTCAGTTTGCTGCTGGAGGAAGAACAGCAAACAGCATGGGGCCACTCTGAATTGGGCGGCCATGGTGGGCGGGTTAAGGGCAGCAGGCACAATGCAGGAGTGGATGGTTGAGTGAGGAGAGGCAGCTGCCACCAAACCACTTGTCCACCTAGAGGACGCTCAGCGTGCCGGGTCCAGGCGGGCTGGCTGTGGCCAGGATACCAACTACAGCCGTGACCCAGAGAAGGCGAATGCAGAAGCAAATTACGGCAGAGGTCAGGGAGGAATATGGTCCTGGGCCAGGGAGGCCGAGGCAGGAGGCCGGCAGGGACTGTGGCCTGGGGCTCACGCGGAGACGGCCACTGTTGCTAGTTAACCGGGGCCTGAGCTGGTGCTGGGATATTAATGCCCCTGGCTCCCAGGAGCAGCTACCATTCCTCATTTTAAAATAGGAGCGACCCAAACGCACGAGGCTTCCACACTGCTTCTCCCTTCCGGACGACCCCCTGCCTGACAAGGGATCCCTCAAAGCGAAGAGGCTGAAAGCCCAGCCTCAGACGCCGGAAATGAGCTCCAGCCGCAGCCCCAGCAACGACGCCACCCACGCCCCCGGACGGCCTGCAAATAATGTGTTTCATTTTGTATCAATGACTGGGCACCGGGACAGGTGATGATGGTGGTTCGTAGACTGTGGGAGGGGAGAGGTGAGGAGAAAGAGGGCACGCCAAATTAAAAAAGCAAGCACCTCGTTACTCCACACCTATCTCGGCTTTGACAGGGCCACGGCATCCCGAGCTGGACAGGCCGTCCACTGCCATCCCGCGCGATGGGCATCAGCCATTAGTTCTTCCCAATCGGGCATCAATGTTCAACGCACACCCCAAAATATATATAATCCAAGCAGTAACGACAGCAGTCTGCAGCCTCTCCGAGCTGCGGCACGTGAAGTATGAGGCCGGGAGGCAGCCCACTCCTCACTCGGGAGGCTGACAAGCATGACTGCAGGGATAAAATAACACTCCGTTCGCATAAATATCAAGCAGCCTGCCCGAGACTGATGGGCCAGGAATGGATTCTTAGCTATCATTCCGGCAGACAGGCCCAAGGACACTCATAACTTATTTTACAATCATTTAGTTTCAGCTCAAGTGGAAAACGTGACAACTTATCTCTGCTGACAAGATGCCATGTCGAACCTTACAATTAACTCTCCTCTGATTATCTGCCCAGCCGATCATTAGCTGGCCCGTTTTGATGAACTGTTGTGGGGAGCTCGCCTCGGCGATCGCCGGCACCACCAGGTGTAGTGAATTGGTTTTTGATGTCCCGGCTGATGCTCCAACAGACCGGCTCTGCAGTGTGGGCCTGCGGCCGGCTGCTCTGGGTCTGAAAAGGCATCTGCGGGGAGGCATCCTTCTGCACTGTCCCCACCACCGTGATGGCCGCAGCGAGTGCTGTGACCACTGCCACTGGCCCTCCCGAGCCGTCCCCAGGCCCACCCAGGTCGAAGGTGGCCACTCCCCAGACTTGGAGTCTGTATTTCAGGGAGCCCTGGGCCCTCTGGAGGGACGCCTGCCACCTCTCTTCCCTGTAGGCTTGGCTGGAGGGGGTGCTAAGAATCTGCGCCAGGGAGCCACCCACACTGTCTGGAGGAGCTGCTGGGGGCCGCAGGGCTGGCCGACTGTGGATTTCCTACGTGCTGATTAAAAATACGAGATGCTTTAAACGTAGGGTCCCAAGAAGCAGGCATCTTTACGAAAAAGAAAAGGGGGAAAAGACAGGTGTGTGCATTCGCTCTCTTTCTCCCCATCACGTATACCCTCACTCATTTGGTGGTTTCAGAAATAATAGCAAAAATCTTTTTTGGGGGGTGGGTATTAAAAGAATTCAAAATGATCAAACTCAGTGCTATTTGTCAGGGCTGGGGCGGGGGAGGGGATCAGTTGAGAGCTAAGACCTTCAACAAATTCAAGATGAAGCCACGGTAGGCTGGGGAATTAAAACGCGCATCCTCCGAGACAAGGCCCACTGCGCAGAGCTGATTTGGACCTTGAATGCGGGCTCTGTTCCTTCTGAAGCTGAGAGATGTGCAGGCTGGTAAATAAAGGACAGGCCACCTCTGCCATCGGGGAAATCACAACATCCCGGCCCCTGTTAAAAGGTGAGTGTGAAGTGAAGTTCAAAACCTCGCCCTTCTCACAGTCCTTTTGAGGGCGCTTTCAGCAGGAGGAGGCGGACTTGAATCCCCATCTCTGAAGATGTTTCAGAGCCGGGCACATTGTCCGGTTCCCTTTGCCACTCGCGGTGCGCACAGAGGTGCATGGTGTCAGAAGAAGGGGCAGCGGGGACACCATGGGGGGCCGAGGAAGATGACAGGTGTTGTGGGAAAGGAAGAGACAACACAGGGTTAGATCGAGTCACAGAAGTAGCAAGGAAAGGGACACAATGGGGGAGGGGGAGAAAGGAGAGAGGATCGGGGGAGAAGCAGTGCCTACCCGGGCCGTTCTAATTATAGCGGATGTCTCTCAATGGAGCAGCATTGACCGGATTTTGGGAAACCTGATCTTCATTTACATGCAGCCCTCACTCACGGCCTATGTTTACCAAGCCTTACAAGGAAACCGGCACAGATTCCGTCGCTCATTAGGGTGCAGGGCTTCTTCCTGAGGCGGTAAGCATGTTCTAAACCTCACCAAAGTATGGTGAGGGCTGCACGTCTCTGTGAATATATGAAAACTGCTGAATTGAACACTTGAAATAATCTAAGTGTATGTCATGTGAGTTTTACCTCAATGAGGCTGTTTTTTTTGTTGTTTGTTTGTTTTTGTTTTTTTAAGGAAAACACTAGAGAGGGGTCATTTCGTTCAACATTGAAAAGCAATCAATAAGGAAGACAAAGTATGTCGCCTGGACAGTCTGGTGGGATGCGGGGACGGAGCAGGAGGAGGAGCTTGGGGACACTCAGAAGTGAGAGCTGAAGGCCTCGTACAAGACTGAGCCCCAAAGCTAAGTCTGAGAGGGGACTGCCCAGGCCACCGGGCACCTGCTAAAGCCTGGCTCTATGCTGCAGACCTTCTGTGGGAGCTGCCCCACTCTCTCCCTGTCCCGGGGAGTGAGCACAGGCCCACGTTCCCCGTCTTGGTGCACATCGTTTTCTCTGCACCCACCATCTCCTCCTCTCTCCCTTCTCCCCACTGCACAGATGTCCTCAAGACCCTTTAGTTCCTCCTCGTGCCTGATGGCCAGCTCACACCAAATGCAGTCCTCTGATTGGGGGAGGGATGAAAGAAAGAACGTGTCGTAAGAAGTCTGAGTGGGAACATACCAAGAAAAAACCTGTAAGAGTATGCAAGTGGGATTTTATACTTAAGGGTCAAAAATGAAACTGTTCTCTAGTTGAATGCTAGCCGAATGCAAGCTGCACACTGTTTAAATTCATCTGGTGTACTCCTCCGAGACACATAGGGCGCTCTGAGCGGCACAGCAAGGTGGAATTTAAATCATTTCAAGAGATTCCTATTTCCCAAGCCTCATCTCTTTTTACATAATCAGCCAAACCATTTCTTAGGTTTGGTGCTCATGGCTGCCAAGTGACAAAAAGATTCTGTTTTGCGTCGAGGCTGGGGAAAGACCAAGTATATCTTGAGGAAAACTCAACTAAACAGGGAAGTTAACTAAATGTATGATCCCTCTTTGGTGACATAAATGTCCAGTCTTCAGAAACTTGGCTGTTTCTATTGCAAGTCACAGGAGTCAAATGACGGACTGGCTGCTGCACAGGTTGTCCTGCCTGAGGCAGGGAAGGCGAGCAACCGCCAGGGCAGGCCACGGACAGCGCTGTCCACGGTGCTGAACACCTTCGGCCAGCTCGTTCTGCACCAGGGACAGAAACACCAACACAAGGCTGCTTCCTCATGGCACATTCTGGCCCTTAATCTACTGACATCATGTGGTTTGAAAAGGAGAGCGATGGTGTCGCTGGTTTAAGAAAGCTGCATACAATAACCCAGACTAAAATAAGCAGGTCAGTTAGTTAACATATCATCCCACCGATCAAAGGTGAAATGTCAAAGATAAAAACATCCATTTTTTTTCACATCACAATGAGTAGAGTGTGTCTTAGTTTGCTTATTTCCCTACTGCTTAGATGAATTTCAGATTTTTGGCCTTAAATCAATACCTTTGTGTATATGTTAATATCTAGAATTACTATGTTAGGGCAGCTTTCAAGATATGGGTCCCAGGAAATGAGCGTTTGTGGGATCTGGAAACACGCTGTGCACTGCTCCTGGGAGTTCTGTGCCTTCCCCGCCAGTACTGCCCAGGCACCCACACTGCCAGGCTCCTGAAGCCTGGAGACCGCGGCTGATGTGAATCCAGCTCCCGCCCTGTCTGCCTCCCGATGCAGACGTGCTCCATCCTCAGCGTGGCCACATCAGGTGGCACGGAGGGAGTAAGAGCCATGCAATGGGCTCCAGAAGGAACCAGCACAGCTGGAGAATCCGAAGGGCACTTCCAAATCCCCGCCTGGCCACGCAGCTTTGGGTGACTCA